CCCTTGTTTATTGATGTCACACTCCTCCCTATTATCTACTCCTGATTTTTATGCACTATACTATAATTTTGATATACTCTTATTCATTTGACTTACATAATTTTCTTTTTATTCCACAAGGATTGAAAGAGAGCTGGTTGTTGATGAACAAGGTTTTCTAATTGCACAAGATGTTTTCACGAGCTTTATGGAGTCTTGCTCAAACGCAATCGTATCAAAGGTCCTTTTTGGAAAACATCTCAAATTAATATTTCCTGGCATTACTTTTTCTACAAAAAGAAAGGATAAAAATCATGTAAGAATATATCGTGGCATCTCATACCGGCACCAGCAATCACAAGACACAATTAGCCTGCATGACATTGCATTGCGAATAAAACCTTGTGCGTGGCAAGTAGTCGCGAAAAATGACAGCAGTATCAAAATTATGTCTTCTGTTGGTATTATCAACCAGCAGAGAGTTATTAAAGAATTAGAAGTGCATGGAAATGGTCACTGGAATTTAAGTTTTGGAGTGGTCCGTGTGCTGACCAGTGACCAAACGAGCCTGCTGTCACCTGGGGATGGTATGTTTCGTGTTCGGGATGTGGACAACCTACTCCGCATGGTCGATAATGCAGAAATGTGCAAAGGATTGCCATTGGGAGAGTCAACTTCAGACCAACAGCTAGGTGCTCATACCTTGTTTTGTCTTAATTTATTTTATGGATTTTACTTGTCAAGACCATTATTTTGAAAAATAATTTTACTGGACTGCTGTCAGCATTAAAGCATTCGAGGTGCAGTGAAATCCCGATTTTATGCGCCCTGATTTAACGCTAATTCGGATATAAAGCGATATAGACATTTTGTTGCTCTTTCAAAAACTAAAAAAAAAAATATTTTGGTCAGTTAAGCTATCAATAGAAGGTAAACGTACAAAAAAACGGGTCAACTAGGGCAAAAATATGGGTGTTTTGGGATGTTAGGTCACCATTGGATCAGTTTATACACTGATTTTCTGCAACCCCGCTTTTTTGTGATAACATTTTACGGATCGACCTCAACGATCACGTTATAACGGGGCCATACTGTAATTAGCATAAAACAAAATAGCCGCAAACATACCATATTTCTCTCACACAGTTGAGCGTTTCCAGACAGCCAAAGGAGAACCAGAAGAGATTCGCCAGCGTGCTCGCACTTGCTCTTGGCTAAAACCGGGACGTGCAAAAGGCACAAGCTGCCGGGCATGCTATTCAGTGAAGCGTTACAAAAACGTTGCAGCGTTGCGGCGCAAAAATGAGGTCACGAAGAGCGCCGGTGGGTGTTTCCTGATTCTGACAGCCATTTACATAAACTGCGCAACGGGAGCGAACGCGAGAATTTCGTCAGGTTTTGTGTGATTTCGCGTGACACAGCTCGGTTACGAACACAGACAGTATCAAGAGCATATAAAGAAGGAGAGCGTACAACGGTGAAATGCTGAAACCATGTTGCAGTATTAGTTGAATTAATAAACTTTCCCCGTTTTCAGCTGTCCTACTTTGCTAATATATAGCAAACCGCATGTCCCTACGATGCCCCTACGCTGAGATAATGAGCGGTGAAAATCTGGTATTTTCGCCGAAAACCGACTCCAGATCAGTCAGTACTGCGACTGTCTCTCGTTCTGGCGATAGCTTCGGGAAACCTGGCGTGTTTCCGTCATTCATTGACAATGAAATTTATTTTCCTTCTACTATCTTTTCTCTCATTTCCAGTCATTGACGCAGCCATTACTCCACAAAAACGTCTTGTTATTTATCGCCATGGTGATGACCCACCCTTTACGCTGGATGTAGTAACGCTGTAGTAATAATCGAGTCGGCGCTACACAGCGGCGACCGGAAGCAACATACAGTGCACAAAACGATAGACAGTCGCAGTACTGACTGATCTGGAGTCGGTTTTCGGCAAAAATACCAGATTTTCGCCGCTCATTATCTTAGCGTAGAGGCATCGTAGGGACATTCGGTTTGTTTTATATTAACAAGGTAGGACAGCTGATCAATAATACTGCAAAGAATCGTCAAAATAAAATGGGGAAAGTTTACTAATTCGACTAATACTGCAACATGGTTTTCAGCATTTCACCGTTGTATGCTCTCCTTTATATGCTCTTGACAGTATGTTTTTATAACAAGTGAACACTGTTCTTCAAATAGAAACAAAGATGGAGTCGAATGGTTGAATATTTGTGTTGTATTTGTGTGAAATCAAGCGAGCGTCGAGCAAATTTTGGCAGCACGGTTTCCTACCTGCTATATATTTATGTGTCAGTGTATGTATGTATGTATGACTGGGAACCTTTAGATCGGTATTTCCCTGGACACACACACACACACACAAAATAATTTATTCCGTATCCCCTTGCGATAGATTTGTGAGTGCAGCTGATCCAGAGAGACATGATACAAGATTGCGTGGCACAGCTTTGCTGTTGATCCTGAGCGCTGCGCGCAGATGAGACGCGCAGTTTCGCGGGATATGCGTATGCGACTGCGGGGATGTTGAAGTATGAAGCGCTGCCGCAGTGGAGTCGTGCACCAAATTTGAGGCCCGGTGAACGTCTCCACAGCGGTCAGCGGATGGTCTGTAGTTTTAGAAGATAACAATGAAGACTTTGTTCTAAATAAGAACTATCGGCGGCTAAATAAGAGCAATATACAGATCTTTGAATTTCTTGACTAGTCAGTCAAAGGGCTTGTTGGGGGTCCATTATGCAGAGCTTCTGGAATGGATCTGGTTCTGGTTCTGGAATGGCTCATGAAATTGTCAAGTGGAATTGTGTTTTTCGGAACTCCAAAGAAAATGTCTCCCTCTTACATGCACCCCTCTCTGATCAATCACGCATTCAGGCGTAAACAATAACAGAGATGAAATTGTGTTGAGTTTGTGGCTCTTGACGCACGTGCATTTACAAGACTGTTGAAAGCACAGGCACTTGAAACGTAATAAAAATAAATATTCACACAATTTTTCACAATGATCGACCGCCTGTGTGCAAAATAGGTGAACGTATGTGAAACATATACGGTTAGTACTTACTGTGACATATCCGTGACTAACTGACATCACTGAATTGGTAAAATGTTCCATGCACCTTAAGAAATTACGAGGTTATCATCGCAGAACTCCCGACACCGCCCATCCTGATGTCACAAAGCTATACGTAAACAATGTTGCGAGGTGCGTGCCTCCGATATCCATTTCGGGGCCCGTTAAGCCAAGCATAAAGCGCGCGGGCAAGACGTCACACACACAGCTCCGTTCATTGGCTAAAACAATCGAGTAGCGCGGTTGGGGATTTTCGGAATTATTTAATTTTAAGAAAAACTTCAATGTTCAATTAAAGACACACTCGTTTATTTCCGACAGCGAGTGAAAATGCCGAAAATGTTCCACTTCGATGTGAAATGCATCGGCCGTGCATTTCATTATTACGAAAAGTAAACAAGCTGGCGAAAGACAGTCGGTACAGTAACTGGTCACGTCGGTGACACCCCATTCATGCCCATCAATGAAGAAGGCGGGGCTTATTGTTATTACGGAGATGCGAAAATGCGATAGAAGGACGTAGTGCAGTGCACTAAACGGCGTGTTATTTTCGTATTTGTGGCAAACTCTATCGTAGGAAACCGTTCTAACATAGCAGAATGCCCTAGTTCCTGAAATTGGCGATTTGATGGTCCAATGGGTCCCCACCTATAAAAATATAAAAGACTGGTGCGGCGTAGGCTGTGATTGGAAGACACAAAGTGTCAATCCTCGGCGTGCCTCGTCATCATGGACGCATCACGTCTAGCTCCCCAAAGTATCTCCAGGTACTGTTTAGTAAGCTGAACTATAGTAATAAGGCTGCTGCCAACCCTAAACCCCAGGAGAGTTTTCAAGAGCTCCTCCTGCATGTCATGTGAGGTTTCTGTTGCCTCCAAACCTGTTCTACGTTTAATCATATTAAAAATATTTTTCTATGGTTTTCATATCCAGGACATTCTAGTAAAAAGTGCTCCAGGGTCTCCAACTTTCTTTTCCTACAAATTAAGCATTTATCTTCACCTCCCCAGTGTCTAGTTCGTTTATTCCGTGGCAAGCACCCCGCCCTGCATTGAAAGAGCAGGCTACTCCCAAGTCTGTTATCATAAAAGGACTCTTTACCAGGCGTCTTTTTTCCTTTATACAATCCTAGCGAACTCTTGTTTTCTATCCCTTTTTTCCAGACGGTCGTACCACTCTGCTTACTTGCTCTTTCCACTCTAACATTCCATTCTTTAATACCCCCCGTTAACTCTTCGTCTAGACTCCTATCCGAGTCAAACTTTGTTATGAGGAACCTAGTTCTCCTCTTCCAGTCTGATCTGAATTCGCCCAATTCCATTGCTTTCGCTATCTGTTTACATTTACGTTCATTATTCATATATTTTATCCTGCCCCAATATTTAATTTTACTTTTTGCCTCACTCTCTTCAAAAGTTGACCATCCCATTTCCCCTCTAATACTCTCCAGTCCCACATAAGAGGGTGCCCCTTATAGCTTACATTCACGATCGCTTCACACGTGCTGTCATCTATTGGAAGTTTTGTTAAAGAATAGGACTGCTAGCCAATATTCCTAAGATCCAAGATATTCCATCAGGCGATTTCAGTTGAATCAAGGAGCACCAATTTGCTGATCAATCTGTACAATTGCTAATTGAACTGAAAGGCTGCAAGTCTGTAGTATACAGTAATTTGGTCCCAGTGTAGCTAGGGTATACCAACGTTTTTATGCCAACTTACCATGATGTGGACCATATACCAAGAGTGTATGGAAGATTATCCTCTAACAATCAATGGATAGATATTCAATCACATCAAGGATGTTATCACATTGTGCTCACTTACTGCAATTTAACTATCTCAATCGAGGTATGTGTCGGGGAGAAGGGGCAGCCAATATCACATGCTCAACAAAATCGATCACATATATGCACAATCATTTCATTTTGCAAAACACACCTTTATTCTCGTTAAACGGGCGCAGAAAGCAAACTGTGACGCGATAGCGTACACCGTCCGACAACCCCGTTGCATGACCCGACCGATGCCGCGTCGCCGACGGAGCGGACGTCGAGGTAGAACGCCCTCTGGTGACAGCCCTACAGCTTGTTGAAGGCGGCGATGTCGACCGACTGGACGTGGTCCTCGAATGCCGTGATCGTTTCCTCGAGGAAGTCCGTGCCGATCTTGTCGTCCTCGACGACGCAGCTGATCTGCAGCTTCCTGATGCCGTACGCGAGGGGCACGAGCTTCGAGGCGCCCCACACGAGACCGTCCGCCACGACGCCTCGCACGAGACGCTCCATCTCCACCAGGTCCGTCTCGTCCTCCCACGGCTTCACGTCGAGGATGATCATCGACTTGGCGATCAGCGCTAGATGGAAACGAAACACGAACGTTACGTTGCCGTCGTGGTTGCGTCGAATGTTTCTACGTACAGTCCCACACACAACACCTGTGTCAATGGACACGATTATGGAACAAACAACCACCTTTTAAAACTTTTTTGGCATTTTCCTCGATTGACAGTTATACAGTGCAAGGTTCTCCCCAGATATTCAAGAAGGTGTGTCGGGGGAATCGGGCAGTTCATACCCGATTGCAAATTGGATGTCAATTACATGTGCAGTAAGCGGCCCCAACACACAGGTAAAATACGTTTCTGTTGCACGAAATTAAGTTCATGTGGTTATCTATGTCAGGCATTTTCTAAATTCAATTGTGCAGCATATAGCAAGTGAACTTAATTAACTAAATTCAGCTATCATGTATTAACATCATGGTGGTCAAGCCAAGTAGCACAGCCGGTAGGTACAACATGGAAATATAGAAATTTCTAGACAAAGTATTTCGATTTCCTCATTTTTCAGACTTCCAATTTCAACCAGATTGATTAATCTCTCGTGGTAATTATCACCTGGTTTCTTTTGCTTCTTTGCATTGTAGGCCTGTAGCCTTTCCTCCTTGATCCTCTTAGTCTCTTCATCATCTTCTTCTTCCTCGTCATCAGAAGCAAACAAGTCAACGTCATCATCTTCATCCTGCAGAGAGAATATCACAATTACTAGTCACAGACAAGCTATTAGAATAATGTCCGACTCAAGTGTACAACTAGAATAACACAGTGTGCTAAAAGTGTCATATATAGAAGCTAGTAGAATACGGTCATCTACAAGTGCACTGATTTTTAACATTGTTAGATGGTGTGGGTTGTATGCTATACTACAGGCATATTGCGACTTTTGGAGGGAATTCGGGGCTTCTATATGTCTATTAGGGCTGTAACGATACACAAGCCTCTCGATTCGATCCGGTTCTCGATATTAGCCTCTCGATTCGATTCCTTTGATTCGATTCCCAAAATATTGAAATGTTATCTTATTTTTTATATTTTCATTATTTTGCAATAATAAATTATTAGAAATTGCCAATGAATACTAAATGGTGAATAGACTAGAGAGTCTAGAGAGTATATATACACTGCACAGCTGCTGCGTAACATTGGTGAGTAACACTCCACAGTATATAGCGTAGTGCCGCCATCTATTGGAGGGAAAAAGTGGTATCGAAGTGGAATCGAAAATACGGGGAAAAATATCGAGGATCGGATCGAGGGAAGAGAATCGCGATCCGATTCGATTTCGGTGGATCGTTACAGCCCTAATGTCTATGAACACATTTCATTGCATGGCTACCTCTACAGGTGCAGACGCATTTTTCGGTTCACCGGGTAGACTGCCGAACTCCTTTTCGTAAGACTTAATGTGGTTGTACCATCTCAGTGCGTGGCAGAGGTCAGCAGATGGCGCTCCCGATAGTGTCTGAAATTATGAAATGAAAAAAAATAAACATAACATAACATATATACTAGTATAGTATAACATATTGCGTTCAAATATAAATCTTCGTAATAGTAGCACGGCTGTCGGACTGTCGCCGTCACTCATAGCATACTTTACGGACAATATCAATGCTGTAAAAGTTTTCGTCTATGTTTCAATGGCTGAGCCTAGCTCTAGTACTATAGTCCGCGTACAGTTGCCGCAGGGCTATAGAACAATATTTATGCCAGTTTTCCTAACTGCACCTGCTCTCCAATGCTTCCACGAAAAATGGTTCACAAAACGCAAAATGATCGGGCTTTTTAACTTATTTATCTACATGGACATCTCACCTATCTTTTTGAACACTTTCCACAACTTTACACCATGTATTTATGTATTTATTCCTCAAAGTGCTAGCACTACTTGCGTCTCGTGTCATTCTTTGAGGAATTTGCGTTTTGTTAGCCATTTTTCGTGGAAGCATTGGGGAGCAGGTGCAGTTAGGAAAACTGGCATAAAATGTTCTATAGCCCTGCGCCAACTGTGCGCGGGCTATAGTACTAGAGCTAGGCTGAGCCTAACCCGACCAGGCTGTGTGACTAACGTCAATATGGGGTATCCTAACCCTAGCAAAGACCCGTTTCTTGGAGCAAGGTTGAGCCTAGACTTGAGTCTGAGACCGACTTCACACAGTACAGTAATGTTAGTAGTGCTACCTTGAACTGCGTCACATCCGCCTGGCTTGGTTGGTAGCCTTCCATATAACTCTTATCTGCGAGGAACTCATTGAGCTTGTTGACATCTGTGTACACCATTTTGACGGCTTATTGGAAACTAAAACGAACACCGGTTGTAAATGAACGTGCGCCTTCGCTACAGATCCTACGTAAAAGGAAGAACACCGGCCGTGTCGTGTCATCGCTATAGACGGACACTGGAAAATGCGTTTCGTTCGTTTTTGTTTGCTTCACTATGTATGGCTGGCAAGGGAAACGATTGGTGTCTGTCTATTTACAAGTTACATATAGGTGGCGCTGACTAAAATCATGGCTCTGTTATTTTGATATGTAAAACAGATATAATCACATCTGATCAACCGTTCTGTAATCATCACGCTGTTATCAATGACTTCAGCCACAGGAACTGACGGTACTATATTCCCATATTACCAAAATGCTAATAAGACCTACTTGGTCTGTTCATTAGTTACATCTGTACACGGCGCAAGAACGTACACGACGACGCGATATCATGATACATGTATGATGTACTATGTAGTTTGATACACTCACACTGTAGGGATGTTACAAAATTTTGAGATGTCATAAAACCTTTGCCATCTGAAAGAGCATGACAATAAATTTAATTTGATACCTTATTCACTTCCATACCTTTAGTTTTAAGGAAGTTATGGTAATTTTCATACGCATAAATTTTCCCATTGATCCCGTTGGTTTTCTATTGTGTTGAAACAAAAGTTGTGATCGAGGAGAGCCAACGGCAACTGAAGAACAAAAATGCTCATAACTTTCTTCAGGGTTAAGAACTCCATGTGAAATTTTTACAAAAAGTAGATTGAAGTATTTTGGATAAAATACATGATTTGTCTTTATAACAATCACATTTAATTACATAATTATTAATTAATTAGTAATTAGGGATTTGGGCAAAGATTTGACAGAGTCAACATTTCGGGACAAAAATGACAACTTTCGAATCATCAGATTTCCATAAAATTTCACCAAAATGTTAAAGAAATGATGCACATGCTTTTTTAGGGGATGCAAAACTTGCAATCTGTACTAAACAGGCCCTCAAGATGAGTCTAACTTTGAAGTAGCTCGTACGATCATCAAACGTAGCAGCATTTAGATTTTTTTTTAAAGAATGTTGACCGAGTCCTCAATGATGTCATAGATGTGACGTGGGTGGCGAAAACACCATAGAACTAATCAGAACCCTCCCTTTTATTAGGGGAGCCCGTCTGTTCTCGTAGTTGCTGGCGCAAGCACACTGTCACTTTTCAAGTGGCACTGCGCACTACATTGTCACATTCCTATACACTGTCACTGTGGTGTACACGGTATGACAGTAATAATATTAATAGTACTAGTTAATACCCCGTGTTACGTACGTAATGCGTTCAGATAAACGTCCGCAATGTGAAAAATTCGTAAGGTCACCATTAACTACCATAATAGGGATGTGCTCCTGCGAAAAATCTTTCAAGTTAAAAAAATGAACTAGAAGGACACGTTAGTCGTAAGACTTCACTGTTCACATTCAAAAACTCATTAAAATATAATGGCCCAAGGATATAAGAGCTGTGTACATTTGCCCATGTCGCACATTAGCGAAAATGAGTTGTGGACAGCTCTTGTATAGCCTTAAACCGGATAAAACTCATGAGAGAAATAAAACGATGTCTTTTGACACTCATGCCTGGTCATAGATAGTAACACTATATAGTTAGTTTATATCGGCGCAAATCCACTTTAGGCACCTTAGGTATCACGAAGTGATGCACAGATTTCTGTGTATCATCAACTGATGCACAGACTTTCCGTATATCAAGGAATGATGCAAAAAACCTCTGACCCTAACCCTAAGTCATAAAGTATAACCTTAGGTACCGTATATCACGAAGTGTGTTAGGGTTTTTGCGTCAGTCCTTGATATACGGAAAGTCTGTCATCAGTTGATGAATACGACAGAAATCTGTGGCATCGACTTCGTGATAGCCTGAAGGGGTGCCTGAGAAGTGGATTGGTGCAGCGCGTTTATGAGCTCTGGTGCGGTGTTGCGGCAGAGGTGTTGTTCTGTGTGGTGTTGAAGTGCTGCTGCGCAGCTGGCTGGATGTGTGTTAACATCTACAGGAAGCTAGCACTATGAATTTTTACCCACGAAATCAGTTTACAGTGTTGAAACAGATGGGGTTTCTACGCTAGAGTAAGGTGGAGAGGCAGTACAGGCCGGTTTTTTGGGCCTTTAGAGTCGACACACAGGTGCTGGCCTCGCGCGTGCACACCGTCATCTGGAGGCGCCGATGATTGGGATCTAGAATAGGCGAATAGGTCAAGTTGTCATTGAAGAACCAAGCAGATCGGCGAACTGACCGTGACACAGTACGAATAGCATAGGTCGTGGAAGGGCGTTTCCCAGGCGGACACACCCGCACAGCATGTCCTCTCGCGTCTGGAAGGACCAGCTCCCCGAAGGCATGCAGGAACTTCGTCGACTCTGTCGGCCGGACTACCGGAGTTGCAGTTTATCGCTGCCGAGGTGGCGTCCGCGCACCAGGCCCCGGCCGGCCGCGGTAGAGAATCGGAGCAGAAGGAAAGTCTGTGCGAAATCGGCTCGGGCTACAAGATGCAATATCAATGAAGGGTTGACGCGCGTGGAGGGATATTTCTCCGACGACTCGATGATGCAGCGAAACCCGCTGATGGTAATAGCGATGGTCCGGCCAGTACTGATGACCGATAGGAAGGAGAGAAACAGAGGCAGATAAAGCTCGCAACGGGAACGTCGAGCGGTGCCCGTATATCGAAGCGTGCTCCATGAACTGGCATAGACCAACGAGCGATGGCAACGCGACAAAGGACTACGAGCTGGATCTGCGAAGAAGGAGCTATGGAAGGAAGAGAAGAGGATGATGAAGAAGAGGAGGAGAGGATAAGGAGAGAAGGGAGACGGTGATGGAGAGGTGGAGCAAAATGCAAACGTATGGACAGGTGATATTATTTCTGTTAATGTATTTGCATCAACTTGTTTGATGAGAAAACAAAAAAACACCAATTACTATCGCGTTCCAGGGTTCTCCCCAGATGAAATTCAAACAGGGGGGAGGGGAGGGTAGGGGGAATGTAGGACGATGATCAGGCCGGGGAGTTACAGGGTGCGGGAGGCCAGGGGAGGGGGAAACTAGGGGGGTCCGTTTGGCGTGTATGTACGGGTACGACTATTTAATGCGTAAATCGCCACCACACATAGAACGGTATCTGGGGTTGTCTTGTACATATCATAAGATAGCCGAGTCGGTGTACAGTTAAGCCTAGGAACACTGTCGATTCTCTACGCTGGCCGCTTGCGATTCCGATAAATACGGTGCCGGGTCCGCGCTGTGTGTCCGGTCCACGGCAGGCGTATTTCGCAGTCGCGATCCATACCGCCCGGCTGATCGCTCGCATTGAACATGTTGAATATTTACAGCCACGGTGTTTACACGCGCGAAGCGCATGGCGCTTGCACCAGCTTAGCGCCGCAAATGAATCATCGTGTTCGAACGCGATTGTTTTAGCAGCAATCCAGTGTAGCAACGAAACAGCTAGGAACCGTTGGATAGCCGTAAGGAAATGGTTGGACAGCCGTACAGTGTGTCCACACTCGTTACGGCGTTCTAACATCGTGAGCGAACATATACGCCTGCCGGCAGCGTACAGAATGCGCTCAGTGTGTCCTAGGCTTTAGTGACAGGTTAAACTGTGTATTGCAGGTTAACTTGTGTACTTTGTGCTGCAGTGCATGCGTGGTACGGGGTAAAAAATACACGCAGTCGATTGTCCCCTGGTCGAACGCCAATTCCTTGAACGACGTTCCCGGCGCTGGCAAAACTTTTATGTGGTGAATTTAAACGGGGCGGCAACGATTCAAGAGCAGGGGGAGTTTCCCAAAACGGGGCGCGCGAGCGCCCGTTTTCCGGGACGCAGCGGATAGTAGGGAGAACCGCTGCGTTTCACAAAACGTTGATGAGTTAATGAGAAACCGTAGGTTCAACAAATCCATGTGTCATTTACCTTGACTGACTTCCCGCCCGTGCTCGTGGGTGGAGCCTCGGCGGCACCGATAAACTTACGCCACTCCCAGGTGTCCTTCGCTTTGATTTAGGGCTTCGACCGACCCGCTTGTAGTTTTCAGACGAGCCCCTTCCCCGTTGACCTTGTGGGGTTCCACGGCGCAGAGCTTGTGTGGCGATGGAGTCGCTAGAATTTGCAGCCAGGTGTGGCTCATCCACCTCCACTTTCTTTGCTTGATGTAGTTGCGCTTGGTTTTTGCTTAGTTCTTTCCCACAGATCACGTTCCTTACTTTGTCTGACCGATTGTGACAAATCCAATGTAATGAAATTAATAATTACACATGTGTAGCCTGTAGGCACACCTTTGCTGATGGTGTGTAAAACACTGCTCTCTGTTCGAAATTGGTACATAGAGCATTCTTACTATTTGCAGGGTCTCCTTCAACTCTGGATCAGCGGGAGAAAGATATGCTGAAAAGTGAATTTCTACACGTTATGCATGAACGATTTCTCAGTGGCAGTGATGTTGATTTTGATTACAGGTATGATGAAATGTGCAAGTATTTTATTAACTAAAATGAATTTGTTTGCCTCAATTATTAGCTATCTCAGTTCAATTACAATGAAAACGTCACATTGTCTCTTTTTCATAAATAAACCATCTAATCGAGTGTTTGTTAATCAGTAAGTGTTCACATATTATCATGGCTTCAGATCCTATGAGAATAGTTTGCTAATATTGAATTTAAACTGAAAGATTATCACTTTGTAACACATGTACGTGTCTATTACAGCACCATTGATAGCAACACGGACTATGATGACCTACAGACCATAGGACGCGACGAAGAAGATAAATACTTCGATGAAGAGGAACCGTTTAGTTTTCGACAGAAATTATCAGCGTCAGGTATCACGTGTACAGATGATGATGATGATGATGACGATGATGATGATTATGATTATGAGGAGGAAGATGAGGATGAGGATGAGGATGGATTCCGACGACCGAATTATCGACAAGCACACTGTGTGATGAAGAACGTAGAGCAGGAAGTGCATTCGTGTTCGTCCAGTATAGAGAGAGTTACTGTTTCTGCTGAGCGTGCGCCAGAAAGTGAAGACGGTTACATGTTGGCTGAGGACAACGACAAAATTACGTGAGCGTAACGACAAAAGCTTAAAAAGAGCAGCCAGAATTTGTGGATTTCGTGTAGCATCTGAGGTAATATGTCACTGAGTGATGTATTGCTGTAATTTACTTCGTCGAAGATCTATCGAAAAGGTGTTGTAGATATAAGAAATAAAAAAACTACTGTACAGTGTGGATACGTTTAGTGCAAATCTTGCATCAAAAATAAATGGATTGTATGACTCGTGTGATAGATACATATGTAGTGTTTCTTCATTCTTGGAATATCTTTATTCCAGGCTATAGATAATATAAATGCCTTGAAAATCAATAAATAATTTTTTTTTCAATAAATAATTTATTTTGATACTTGTCCTTTACAGAATGTTGTTGCAACCACAATGGTAACTTTGAACCATAAGTGTTGTCAACTAAGTAATATTGAGTGACAGCTTTGCAGGTTAAAGTGCATAGGTGACAACCATTGAAGATGTATTTTTGCAGAATAATAGTATGTACTAAAAACTTCCCAAGTGCACCGATTTCATTGTACAATCCTTACAATCGTTTTTGATGAAAATAATATAATTTCTATATTCACCATTGCACGTATAAACAATTACAAACTAATGTGGCATTAGGAAATGATACTGAGGAATTATGTTGTAGGTGTGAGGAAGGCTGCACATACAACATTTATTAAATATCATGGTTTCACTGTTACTTTTGTAATTCGTCGAAACAGTAAGAGGTATGGCAGTTGAATCTATTGATAGTATATGTTGGACATAAGCATAGTCATGTGACTATATCATTTCATATTAACATGGTCTATTCACATTGACATTGTATGTTCACACGAGTGTAATTTGTTAACATGAAAATTTCATGCAGGCATATTAGCTTCACCCGAGCGTTTCACATAATCATATTCCATTCACCTGAGCATTTCAGATGAGCATATTCCATTCACCTGTTAGCATATTAATTTTTACCCACTGATCGTTTACTGTTAAAAAGATGGTTTTCTACTCTACGTATGCAACATTACGCCGGTTTTTTGCCTTTTAGATCCACCAGAGGGTGCTGGTGCTCGCGGCGTGCCACCCGTCATCGAGGCCATGATATCTAGAATAGCGAATAGTAATTGTCGATTGAAGAACCAGCAGATCGGCGAACCTGACCTGACGACAGACGAGAAGCATGTGTTCGTGAAGGGCGTGTTCACGAACAACCCCGCAGCATTCCTCTCGCGGTTCTGGAAGGCGCTGCTCCCCGAAGACATGCAGAACTTCGTCGACTCTGTCGCCGACTACGAGTTGCAGTTTTATCGCTGCCAGGTGGCGTCGCTGCACCAACCCGCGCGCGAGAGATCGAGCAGAAATCTGGTGAGAAATCGGCGCTACAATGCAATCAAGGGGTTGACGGCGGAGGGATATTTCTCCGACGACTCGATGATGCAGCGAAACCCGCTGATGTATCAGCAGATGGTCGGCCAGTACTTGACCGAAGAAGAGAGAAACGAGCAGATAAAAGCTCGGCAACGGGAACTCGACGGTCGTATATCGAACGTGCTCATGAACTGCATAGACAACGAAGCGATGCAACGGACAAAGGACTACGAGCTGGATCTGGAAGAAGGAGCTATGGAGGAAGAAGAGGATGATGAAGAAGAGGAGGATGAGGAGAAGGAGGAGGAGGAAGGAGACGGTGATGAAGAGGTGGACAAAAATTACAAACGTATGGACAGTGATATTATTTCTGTTAGTTATGTTCGTCCAAATTGTTTGATGAGAAAACAAAAACAATTTTACTATGCGTTCACAAAAACGTTGATGAAGTTAATGAGAAACCAGTAGGTTCAACAAATCCATTGTGACTTACTTGACTGACTTCTGCCCGTGGCTCCTGGGTGGAGCATAGGCCACTGATAAAACTTCGCCACTTGACTTGATGTTGGGCGAGTTGCCTGATGGTGTCCCAGGTGTGTCCCTCAGCTTTGATTTAGGCTTCGACCGACCTCCTCCATGTAGTTTTCAGACGGCCCCTTCCCCGTTGACCTTGTGGGTTCCACGCCAGAGCTTGTGTGGCGATGGAGTCGCTAGATTTGCGCTAGGTGTGGCCAATCCACCTTCACTTTCTTCGCTTGATATCAGTTGCGATTGGTTGTTGCTTAGTTCTTTCCCACAGATCAACGTTCCTTACTTTGTCTGACCATGTGACAAATCCAATGTAATGAAATTAATAATTACACATGTGTAGCCTGTAGGCACACCTTTGCTGATGGTGTGTAAAACACTGCTCTCTGTTCGAAATTGGTACATAGAGCATTCTTACTATTTGCAGGGTCTCCTTCAACTCTGGATCAGCGGGAGAAAGATATGCTGAAAAGTGAATTTCTACACGTTATGCATGAACGATTTCTCAGTGGCAGTGATGTTGATTTTGATTACAGGTATGATGAAATGTGCAAGTATTTTATTAACTAAAATGAATTTGTTTGCCTCAATTATTAGCTATCTCAGTTCAATTACAATGAAAACGTCACATTGTCTCTTTTTCATAAATAAACCATCTAATCGAGTGTTTGTTAATCAGTAAGTGTTCACATATTATCATGGCTTCAGATCCTATGAGAATAGTTTGCTAATATTGAATTTAAACTGAAAGATTATCACTTTGTAACACATGTACGTGTCTATTACAGCACCATTGACAGCAACACGGACTATGATGACCTACAGACCATAGGACGCGACGAAGAAGATAAATACTTCGATGAAGAGGAACCGTTTAGTTTTCGACAGAAATTATCAGCGTCTAATATTTAATTTTACTTTTTGCCTCACTCTCTTCAAAAGTTGACCATCCCATTTCCCCTCTAATACTCTCCAGTCCCACATAAGAGGGTGCCCCTAGTAGCTCCCTTCCCAGCTGGTTTTGAGTCATGTCTAGTACCTGGAGCGTGGACGTTCCTCCTTTCTAATCTTTAAATACGTCTAGGGCTTCATTTGTATACGTCAGTGCAGGCACTGCAACTGCTTTCCAAAGCTCCCTACCCACCCAATATCTATTGAAACTATAGAATGCCTTTGAAGCTATTGCTCCCCTGTATTTTCTTGTTTTTTTTCTGTATATCATCCTCATGCTGTTGTACGCAGTTTTCGATATTGTCACTAAGCTTTACCCCCAGGTAAGTGTATTCAGATGCTCGCTGCAAATTCATTGCCCCCAGTTTCCAGACACCCTGTTGCTCCTCTATTAGCTTATTGAGAATCATGATTTGGGATTTCTGTTCTCCAAAATCTATTCCAACATTTTTTGCATAATCTGCGGCAATGCTCAACATACTTTCCATTTTACTCTTATTCTCTGCTAGCAGAACCACATCATCCACGTATAACATCCCCTGAAAGCTATTTCCTCCAATGCACAATTCATTTGCATTTGTTACGAGCCTAGTAGACAATTCATTGATAAACAATGCGAACAGGATTGGTGATAAAAGGCAACCCTGCTTCAGACCAACATTAGATGCTAACCAATCCGATTCAAACAGTCCTAAACATATCGTTGATTTATTGTTCTACTCGACTAGTTTAACGAACCCATTACCCAAACCTATTCTTTTTAGTTCCCTTAGTATTTTATTCCTATCCACCCAGTCATAAGCTTTTTTGAAGTCCAAGAATGCAAGGTATAATGGTTCTCTTACATGTTTCGCCTGCTGAATGCATTGGGTTACAGCAGTAAAAACCTGCGTATAGGAACCTAGATTTTCACAAGTTAGCCTCAATAGGTTCTTATATAAATGGTGCTTACTGAAAAATTAGGCTCAAAAGGTTCTTCAATAGGTTCTTGTTTCTACTTTTAAAATGTATAAGCTTATATACTTGATTCAAATTGTGTTAAAAATTTTTCTTACGAGGACTGCAATTTTTGCTAATTGGGTGATTCTGAGGTTAGGGGGCAAATTGCTGTCCTGACCACCCTTGGTCAGAATTCTTCAATGATTTGCCATGTTTTGAATCAATTTTATTGTTTGATGAATGTCTTGGATCATGGTAAAAAAAATTGCACTAAAATGGATTTCATATACATGAGATTTCTTTAAAAAAAATCAAGTTCAATGTTCAGATGGTCTCGGAATGGCCTGTCCTTACCCATGGTAGCCAATTTTCCACCAATGATTTGAAGCTGTTGTCATCATTCAGGGATGACAAATCTAGTTTGGGTGGGGTTGCTATTGTTTCAACTGTAATTCAGCAAAGTTTCATGCGCCTGTGACAATAAGTGTAAGAGGGGTGAACTTTTTCAAATTTTTATACTGTTTTGGACTTTATTTCGTCGAAGTACACGTTCGACATTCGCGGCATCTACCGCTCAACCGATTCTACCGCTTTACCGCTCGCCGAAAGCTGGTGCTAAAATTTGGCTCGGGCCTGGTCCGACGTTTTCGATTGCACCAAATCTGGCACGGGCCTAATTAGGCTCGGGC